TTTTATTTATAAGAACAGTAACACAGGCTACCGTGGACCGTAGCCAATGCCAAAACTACAAGGGAAAAAATGTGTTCCCCTGAATCAAAACAAAAGTTTTTACAGAACCCCCGATAGAACCATGCCCAGAAAGCGACGCAACGTGTGCCAAGTTTGTGACACTGGAAAGTCCACAACGGCCTGAACTTTTTCAGTCACGGGCCATACCTGCCCTTGTCCCACTTGCTTGCCCAAATAGGTAATAGTAGCCTTCCCGAACTCACATTTAGAAAGGTTGAGCGTGAGGGAGGCATCGTTGAACCGCCCAAACACCTCAGAAAGTGTTGCGAGATGTTCAGGCCACAAGGTAAAATAGACAACCACGTCGTCCAAGTATGCCTCGCACTTAGACACTCCACACAGCACCTGCCGCATAAGGCGTTGAAACGTTGCGGGCACATTACGTAACCCGAAAGGCATCACTGTATATTGGAGGAAGTGATCGGGCGTTACAAACGCAGAGATCTCCAAAGCCCTAGGTGTTAATGGAACCTGCCAGTACCCCTTTAATAGGTCCAGCTTTGTAACATACTGAGCAGAACCAACACGATCGAGGCAATCTTCCATCCGCGGGAGCGTAAACGAGTCTGGTTTGGTAACCGCATTCACTTTCTGGAAATATTGTCCGCTATCGCTACCAGAATACAAGGCGAGCTCCACGCGTCATGACTGGAAATAGCAAGGCCATGCTCAATGAGATATTCAACTTCCTACTGCATCAAGCTCCGCTTTGTGGTGTTTACACGATAAGCGTGCTGTTTTATCGGCCTGTCAGTTTCCACCGTGATGTCGTGACACAGGACAGATGTTTGCCTACGGTAGTCAGAAAACAAAGGTTGATGAGCTTTCACTAACGCAAGGACATCCCTATGAGCAGGGGGTGGCAAATGAGAGCGGGAGGACTCCAAAGTGGCCAACATCTCGCAATTCCAATCTCCGAGCCCCCAGTATACAGCCACTTTTTTCCATCAAACCATCGTCTTGTGGGTGGTACTCTGTGGTGCCCAGAGCAAATTACATCACCGGTGGCGAGCTCTTTGGACACATAACATTTGAGCATATTAACATGACACACTTGCAACTTTCGCTTCCGATCAGGCGTTTTAATGACATAGTTAGTATCACTTATTTTCCGATCCACCTCATAAGGACCAGAAAATTGAGCTCGAATGCTAGACACAGTCACTGGAAGCAAAACCAGCACCTTCTC